AGCTGTTCTTCGCGCGCGCGGCGCTTGGCCTCCTTGTCTTGGATGTGCTGGCTGTTGTAGAGCATGGTGTTTTCGATAATGTCGCGATGCCCTTGAAGCTCACATCTAGAAGAGCTCCGACTCAACAGCGTCGCCGAGGTCGGTGGTTTTCACGGTCGTCAACTCCCGGCCAGCCTTTCTGAATTAGAATGGCGCCCCGTCAACGTGCGCCATTTGTCCCCGGACGATGCTATTTGGGCCGACCTCCGCCACGCGCTCCGCCGCACGCGGCTCGAGTACCTCTGCTGCGACTACTTTGGCGAAGTTTCGGCGCAGCCATCAATGGGCCCCGACCTCTCGCAGCTCAAAAAGCTCGACGTAACATGTTCCCGTGCCGGTGTCGACCACGTGCGAATGCTGGTCGCCGGCCTTTCGCAGCTGTCGTCGCTCACCGAGCTCTCTCTAGCGCGGATTGCCGTGGACGCCGAAGCGATGCGGTCGATCATGGAGACATTGGCGACAAGTTGTCCTCACCTCGCCGTGCTCGACATTACCCATCATGAGCTTGATTGGCGCGGCATGCGGGAGGTACTGGTTGCGGTGCCGCGATTGGCGAGGCTCACGCACATCTTTGCCTCGGGCTGTGCCACCTGTGACGTCGCGCTTTGTTTCGACGAGCTTGTTGCGGCGGGTCGACGCGCAGAAGAGATTGCGTTGCCAACTTGCTACGAGCGCGGCAGCCGCGAGATGGATGACGTGCTGTGGGCGCTGGCCGCGATACCCGATGTGCCGTTCGTTATCCCGAGCTTGCAGTTGCGAGACGCCGATCCGTATGTCCAAGCCATACTTGGTGAAGAAGTGCCGGGTGCGAGTGAGCGGTGCAGCTTGTCCTTCAACTAACTGCGGTGGATGGATTTCTAAATGAAAAGCGGAAACTACCATCAACTTGTGTTGCGTCGTCATCGGGTCTGCAGTCAAACAGACTTTGACAACTGTCTACCTCAGTTCGTTATGTGTTGCTGATGACGCGGCGGCCCGCCGTGGCGGCTTGGTCAGTGTGACATAATACGAACATCATTTCAAAGAAGGAGCATTTACTTCAATTTATTCGTTAGCTGTAGTTATTCTGTATGTACTCTACCTACACAAGTCCCAACTCATGGGCCCTGGCCAAAACCCGCGCAGCAAGGTCTCTTCGTACACGAGGGCCACGTCCAGCCCCAAAGTTGATGTAGGGCTTGCGAGGTGGCTACACCGCGTCAGTATGACTACTCGCAAAGCATCGCTGGAGCGTCAAGTCTGAAATGAAAAGGGCGATTCAACGGTGGCTCATCTAGTGCTTTCTATTCTCAGAGAACGGGCTCGTGGCGGTGGCAAAATTTCTCTCTCTATCGTTGCGGGAGGGCCCGAGGTTTGGAAAACCCAATTCACTGTACACTGTTGTCGTTTGGTGCGTTTGAAATACGTGTTGCTCGCCACGTCAACACCTCCTTGGGTTGCCTTCACCAAGTCGTCCACCATGTCATTACCCAACGTCTTACTGCACACGGTTCCCCGATCGTCTCGACGCCGCCACGTTTGACGTGTGGTTTTCGTCGCATCAGCAGTGGCACACCAGCATCATCCTCGCCGCCTCAGTACACCAAGTAAGATCGAACGACATCTTGTTTTTACAACTCTATCTAATCGACTAATGTTTGTCGAATACACTCTACGTCTGCGCGGCCAAGAACACTGCCTTGGCCTTCTCGAGGATCGCAATGCCCGCCGCCGACTCTTCGGGATGGACAAGCCGCGCCGCACCGTGCTGGATTGTGTCGGCAAGGCCAATGTAGTAGGCGCTGTAGTTGCCCGGCTCGCTCACGACGCGCTCGTCCGGTTGGCCGGGACGCTCAAGGACGCCGTAGTGCGCCTCGGGCTCGTGGCCCCAGCTGTCGCCGTCGGTCAACGGCGTCCGCCCCGCACGCAGCGCGGTCTCTTGCCCGTCCTCGCCATACTTGATGAACGAGCCATTCGCGCCGCGGATCGTGTACTTGGGCGTCGGGTTCTCGACAAGCATACCCGACGTGAGCACGACGAGCAGGCCCGGGTACTGGCACTCGAGGCGGAAGTAGTCATCGTTGCTCGAGCCTTCGCGCTGGCTCTGGACGTCAGCTAACCATATTTAAGACATGAGCTCCAAGGTTGACATTTACGAGATGCGTACACGAAATATTCGTCGGTGGGCCAAAGAGCGTAAGCATTTGGTCGACGAGATGCGCACCGAGGTCGTAGAGGAGGCCGCCGCCACCGACGTCCGCACTCTCTCTCCATGTACCTTTGAGCGACGGGCGGAAGCGGTCGTAGTGGGCCTCAAAGTGCGAGAGGTCCCCGAGCGTCTTGTTCTCGAGCAGCTTGCGCACCGTGAGAAAGTCCGAGTCCCACCGGCGGTTCTGGAAGACGGTCAGGGCAACGTTGTTGGCGCGGGCCGTCTCGATGAGGACGCTCGCTTCGGCCGACGTGACGCACATGGGCTTGTCGACAACCACGTGCTTCTTGGCCTCGAGCGCGGTCT